ATCTAGAAGATGAGACGGAGGGGATGGCGAAATAAAAAATAAAAAACGAACAAAAAGAGTTTTGCTTTCCGGCCCCCGCAGTGTCTGTACATACACCCCAGCGCCCCTGTGACTGGACGCCCCAAGAGCAAAAAGAGAAGAAAGATAAGAAATAAAATGAAAAAAAGGAGACAAAAGGGCCAAAATAGCTGAAATAAAGACAAAAGAAGCAAAATAAATTAAAAATCACGAAAAAGATATTAATAAATAATAAAAACAAAAAAACGAGGGAGCCTTGCGTTGCTCCGCCTGGATCTCGGGTGTCTGTACACCTCAGCCCCAAGTTTGGAATCAAATTAAAAGTATTTTTGTGATTATATATTTGAGGAGTACTTGTATTACATTTGAGAAGTATTTAAAATATATTTGAAGAGTGTTAGAAATGTAATTTATGTCTCTGCATGCGATTCATTCCCATCAAATGCATGTTTACCTTTGTAATTATTTACTCGAGAGCTGAAAATTAGAAAAGTCTATTTTCACTTTTAATTCTTTCAAATATAGAAGTTGGAAGAATTAAAGAGCTTTGAATATCTTTTAAATATATTTTTCTGAAAGGGATTTATGCAAGAAGTATACGTGCGTCTTCCATTTGCATGCATGCCTCTGGGGCTTTTCTCCTGAAATTGGCCTTTTTGTGGACTTTAGAATTGAATATGAAAATATAAAAAAGTAAACGACTTTTTTAATTTCAAATTTGGTTATTTTTGAAGCAATTCTCCCTCCTAAGGCCGCCAGAATTAAGTGGAAATAAATGCAAAAGCCTGACTTTCCTTTTTAATTTGTTCTTGCATTAAGTTGGCCTTTTTAGATCCTAAATTCTATATATACAGCTGAGCTGAAGTGCCTGAGCATGCGCAGGCCAACGCATGCAGTGTACGTACACCTCAGGTGTATGTACACCTCAACATATACATGTATACAATATATATATGTATTTTTGCTCATTTTACCTTCACTTCTATTATATTATGCACAGATATGATATATATGCAATCGGGTTTACAAATATATCATATTTAGAGGTGATAAACGGAGAAATATTTAATAAAATAGTATATATACTTTCATTTTGTGTCTACACAATTTATGCCTCAGGCTCACACGTCCCCATTTTTGCACAATTGGGCCTCAAATAGCATTTAAAGATATTAAAATTAATAAAAATAAATTTATTAATTCATTTAAATGATTTTTAAACGGCAAACAAACCCCGAAATATGCAGCCAGCGCCCGCTAGCTCGAGGCTGGGGCCCCAGGGGGGCCCCTCCAGGCTGCTGCTGCTTTGAGTTTTGCTGCAGTTTAAAGAAATTATTAAATAAAGAGTAATTAAATTAAAAGTAAAAATTATAAATTAACTAAAGAACCCAAAATAAAGCGTCACTCAGGCAGCGCTGCTGGGGGGCCCCCAAGGGCCCCCCGAAGTCTACAGCTCTCGGGGCCCCCTGGAGGGCCCCGATGTTCTCCTGGGCACCAAAAGGTAAAAAGAAATAGAAAAAAAAAGAAATATTTTAAAAGAAATAAATGATTTCTGTTGCTGCTGCTGGACCCGGTGGAGGGAGAGCCCTCTTTAAAGTTCAGGTGTACAGACACCTCAATTGTGGGACCCGCGACTAGCCCATGCATGCAGCGCCTGCAGCAGCAGCAGCAGCTGCTGCTGCTGCGGGCTGGCCCGAAGCAGCAGCAGCAGCAGCAAGAGCAGCAGCAGCAAGAACGGCGGCAGCAGCAGCAGCCAGAGCAGCAGATCGAGGCAGCAGCCGCCGCTGCTGCTGCTGCTGCTGCTGCTGCAGGAGCGGCGCTTCCCGCACCGCCCCAGCTGTCTGTACACCCCACAGCCCCACACCCCCAAGCAGCAGCAGCAGCGCAGAGTCCCTCAGAAATACAAATTTAACTTTAAAGTGTCTCTCCCCCCCTGTTCCTCTGCACAAGCGCGCGTTTGCTGCTGCTGCTGCTGCAGCAGCAGCAGCAGCAGAGGGGCCCCCACAGGGGGGCCCCCCAAGGATCTTTGCGGGAGTTCCCACAGCTGAGCTTTGCTGGAGACTCTGTGATGAAAATAAAGGAGATGAATTAGCTGCTAATCTTGTGGCCCGCATAATTGATGCATTGAGAGGCCCCCAGGGGCCCCCCTTGGGGGCCCCCCAGGGGCCCCAGGGGCCCCGCGGTACCCCCTGGGGGCCCCAGGGGCCCCCAACGGCCCTCAGGGGGGCCCTCGGGACATTCAGGCCTCCTAAACAATCTTACTGGGACCCGCAGGGGCACGCAGAGGGTTTGCATGCGGCGTGAGCTAAACCCTAAACCCTAAACCCTAAACCCTAGACGACAGGCCCAGAGGCCAAGCCCTAGACCCTAGAGGCTAACTCTAAAGCCTTTAGCCGTGTGGACTCCCAATAGTTAATTAGCGCACTTGCCCCCGCGAGAAGGGTTTAGGGTTTAGGGTTTAGGGTTTAGGGTTTAGGGTTTG